TCAGAAACCTCACAACTTTATGTTGCTAATACAACTAAAATAAAAGCGTCAAGCAGAGGCAATTTAATTAAAAAGAAGAAAGACAAATGTACAGATTTAAACAATTTTGTCATGAAGCACAATTTACTAGATTATTATCTATGCAGGTCGGCTAATTACATTGAAGTAATTCTTTAAGATGATATGATTTTCTGACGTTTTGGCCTATTTCTGTAATTTACACTAGTATCCTGTTATAAGTATTCACCTGTATGAATATTCTTCGTATAGAATTAAAAAAACAAATTTTATTAAAAACCCATATACGCAGCAGAGTAAATACACTACATAGGAGAAACATTTTGTTTATGAAAAATGGAAATCTATTAATGCCAATGCATTTTTATACATTTATTCTGAAAATCTAGAAAATCCCATTCTGATTTCAGAAGTTGTAAAAAAAAAAAAGTTAAAGGTGTAGTTTTGCAGACAAACTATTTTTAATTACAGTTAAGAATTCCAGACTTATTTGTCCCTGTAAAGGTACAGGGAAAAAAAAAACAACAAACAAACAAAAAAACCAAACTATATAAATTCAGAAAGACATAAAAAACCATATAGAAATCTTCTGCAATACAGAATGTCTTTCAAATTTATTGGCAATTAAGTATCCAGGGAAGATTCCTACTGAAGCCACATTGAAGCTAATAAAAGAGATTGATTGTCAGTATCATTCTTCCTCAGTAATCATGCCATTGCAGAAGATTAGAATTTAACACAGTTTATACTGTGTGTGGCTAGCCATTAGGCTAACCATAGAAAGATAGTCTTTCATAGCTAAATGTCTTCTATCTCTAGGACATCAAAACTCAAATTAGTGGCATTCATTAATTTTAAAAAAATTTGATCACACCAAGATATTTCATGCATTCAGCCTTCAAACTATTCATCCTGATCCAGAAACTAATTAAAAAAAAAAAAACACAAAAAACACCAAAACCCCCCACCCATAGGGACCTAAAAGGAAACATTATTTGTACTTTCATCAGCAAGAGCCCATATTGCAGGAAATCATGATCTATTTTAACAGATTTTCATGAAAATAGTCTTTTTAAGCCATGTGTGCACAAGTACTCCAGAACACTGGTTTACAGCCTATTATGCTAAATGCAACGTCCACAAAACTGCCTGCAAATAAATTCTGGGGTCACATAGAGCAGTCTGCCCAGAACCATGCCCAGATGGCAGTTTCAGCTGCTAACTTTGCCAAACATGAATAAAACTTCAGCTTAAGTTTTCAATGTCAGTTTTCCATTTCTACTTATTTTTAGAAAACTTTCAACCATTTCTAAGAATTAATTTTTGGAAAAAAACTCTTGTTCACAAAAACTGCTAGAATTTTCAAAGAAAAGTTTTGTAACATCTTGAAGCTTTGAAGAACAGACATTATTTCAATGTCCAAATGCTGTTTCAATGCGTAAACACACAAGTATGTTTACACACCTATCTGTAAATTGGATTTTGTAAATCTGAAAAAGTTATTTGGAGATCTTTAAGACTTTAATAGCTGAATTCTTTAAGATTCCATATGCATTGGGTATGCAGCATCCTATTGAGAAGACTGAATATTTTGATACATTCTGACCATCAACCACATGGAGAAAGATGCAAGATTCATCTGCATGTATGAGGATTCATATACGTAACCAAAATAGGAGGAACTGACCCTTTGTAGGAATTTCTCTTTGACACAGCTTACCCCTTACTTGCCTGCTGTTTTTGTACTTTCACCCTCTTCTAAATCAGCTGGTTCTGGACAGTGCCAGTTCGTTAGGATAAAAGACCAGGTTATTATTAGTCATAATCAACACTTCCCACAGCTGAATTAATTTACTAAGTTTGTCCAGATCACACAGTTTATAGGTCAGAAGGACATCTATTCCAAACTTCTGCTCAAAGCAGGCTCAGCTGTGAGATCAGAACAGGTTGCTCAGGGCTTCAGCCAAACAGGTCTTGAAAGCCTCCAAAGACGGAGACTGTACACCCACTCTAAGGAACTTGTTTGGCTATACTCATGATGAAAAGGTTTTGCTTTTAATCAGCATTGTTCTTGGTGTGGTATCTAAAATAAGGACTTTGAAATGTTCTTTACTGTCCACAGAAGACAAAAGACTAGCTTACTGAACTAGAGATGTGTGCTTGCTTTGGAAAGGCAAGTACTGTTTCTGCATTTTATCCTAAGCTACAGTTTCCTATAACATTTTACCCTACCCTGCCCTGCCTTCCACTGAATTCAGCAAGGTTATTGTATCTGAACCTTCTAAGAAGCTACAAACAGTTAACTGGAGGAATATTTTGAAGTAGAAAAATATTTGTAAAACCTCTTCCACAGAGACAACAGTGGAAACTATGACATCTGGTTGACACTTACACATATACAATGTGTTGGATCAAGGAAATTTCTGCGAAGTTTAATTCTTGTTATGACTGGACTCAAATAGGCCCTGGGCTGAATTGTCCACTGCATAGGCAATTCTCCTTCCTTTACATATCCTCCAGGGCACACTTCCTCACTAAACTGCTAATCAGCCAGATAACAAAGATCTTCAAGTACTATTGGATCCAACATGAATAAGAAATGTTACTGATTCTCTGGAAAAAAAAAAAGAACACAAATGAAACAAACAAAACAACACACCACTCTCAAAAAAACAACAAACCCTAGCATACAACACAACTCCCAAGAATTTTCAGTAGGAAGTAAAATAACTATAAAGCAATCATTCCAAGTAGTACAATTGTTGAAGATACAGACACTTCCACTATATGTAACTAGAAATCCTTGAAAGGTATCAGTTCTGCCTATAATAGGCTTGAGGACTTAAATAATTTAAGAAACTATGAGAGGCACAATCACTATGGAACGACAAGTGAAACCTGAGACACTTGTCAGAACACACAATTTTTCCCTGCCTGGAAGTAGATATGGGACTGCCCACATGTTGCATCAATTCAAAGATAGAAAGACAGATGAAGAAGTGAAGGAATAAACATCTACATTTTTCTTTTCCTCTCAGCATTCATGTTAATTTCCAAGCCCAGTGACTAGTTCAGAGTTCTCCCGAAATACAGTGTAACCCTGTACCTGTCAGAAATTAAGAAGGGGGATATCCCTTGGGACTCTACGGTAGAGGGTACATCTCTGATTACTTGGAGATTTGGCCATTCTTCCCTGCATCTAACTTTACACACCATTCAAAATCTGTGTATCAAGGTAGCCAACAGAAGAGGAAGATGAAGACGGTGGAGGGGAAACCAGTATCTGTCAACCCTGAATTGAAAAGCTCTGCTTGCTATCCAAACAAACTGTATTTGTCTCTACGGCACTGGGATCGTACTGGTCATGCTGTAGCTCCTGTAGTTCTAATGAGAAAACTGTATGCTAAAATAACATCTCATCAGTGCACTGTCTCTTACTGATGAGTGTAGTCTACACAATCACCTATTGAAAATCCTCACAAATTTCTTAAATGTCCCAATGAAATCCAGCTCACAACTCTTGCTGCCAAATAAATCCTTCAGGACATACTGGAAGGAAATTCTTAAGTCTGTAGGCACAACTAACATAAATAATAAAAAGTATCAGTCCTTCATATCTGTCCTTAAGCAGAGAGTCACTGAGCCAAAATCCCTTTCTAGGATAAGATTAATGTGCCACGTGCTAACAATCAAAATTTGCATCAGTGCTTATAAACAAAGCAGCAACATCCTGAAAAGTGGCACAATATCTCCCTTACCATTTCCCACTCTAAACTGTTTTTGTCCATAGCTTAGCGCATTCTCTACCTATTGTTAGCTTATCTACTCATTCAATAATTATGTGGACTATAATTGTCAATAATACAAAATATTATTAAAATTAACATTCCACCTCTCTCTAACCCGATTTTTTAATTATGTTTTTTCCAAGAATCTCCTTTTACCAATTAAGACATCTCACTAAATTTACCTAGTCTTAGGTAAGAACAGTCAGTTTTATTCTTTTTGATCAATTTTGTCTTCCCTACATTTATTGTAACATTTATAAACTCCCACTGTAATACCAGTTACTTAGAAAAAAAAAAAAGTATGCCTAACAAAAGAAGTCAATAATATTGATGTTTTAAAAAGCTGACAATTGTTCAAATAAAAATTACTTGTGGAAAAATTTAATTTTAAAAAATTCTTCCTGGTATTTATCATAAATTGAGAGTAAAAAGTTAGCATATTGCCAGCCACCTCCAGTTGTGCTGTACACCTACTCAATTTTGACAAATACCTGAAAAATGTTTTAAATATATACAAAAAACTATAAAACAATGCAGATGTTAATAACTTCAAGATGCTGACTGTGAGAATTCCACTAAAATGAATGCTGTTTACTTTGAGACAGAGCTATCTGATCCTCCAAACATGAATGCCCATCTAGTTATTCTAGCAAAATTGTTCAGCCTAGTATAAGAATGGATCAACATAATGATCTACAAATAAAAAGGTATTTAACATTGCCACTGGTTTTACAGCCTGAATTTCATATCAGTTCAGTTTACATTAAAAATTATTTCAATTATTTCATTATTTTGTTGGTGTGTGCATGACTATTGGATACCATTTTCTCTGTATTTCTTTTGCTTTATATTTGAAACATGCTTTATTGTTTTAAAGTTTACCAACAACAGCCTCTATTTAATACTCTCTTCCCTTAAAAATTGGATTTGCATCTGGCACATAACACAGCGGCAGACTGCTGAAGGATTATAATTTAAATCTGAAATACAAAAAATGCCAAAGCAGAGATACCTTTATAAAGATAATATTTTTTTCAATACAACGCAAAAATAAGACTTAAAAGATGCTTACATATATAATTGCAGTCATAGTTATTACACTCCACATAACATTAAAGAAAAAGGTATCTAAAAAGTTCCATGTGAATGAAGATGCAAAAAAACCAAGGAGAAATTATTTGAGTTAAGTCTTACCTGACCAGTGTCCAGTAGTGGTACCTGATCTGTCAGTACATGTCTCGCTTACAGGCCTAAATACAGTCTCCCAGCCACCAGTAGCATAGCGCCAATTCTGAGACTCTAAAATGAGTGTTCGCTGAGTGCCATAAGCGATCATGAAGCAGTAGACTACATGATGAAGTTGACAGCCATAGCCACAGCCTTTGTTGATATTACACACAAGTTTCTTAGCTTTGCTGCAATCCTTCGGATTCTGTAAGTATGGATGAAAAAGTGAAACTGAAGAGAAGATATACACAAAGGCATACTTCTTTCTGAAAAACTGACAACTGTCATAAATCACACAAGCCATCCTGCTATAATACATCTCATATTAAAATGGATGAGTAAGCTTCAGCTCCATGAAAATTTTATGTGAATTCTTCACGGTGAACATGAACAGTTATTGAACATACTTCACTATCCTAATATAAAATAGAATACCTTCAAGATTTTACATTACTTTCTCATTTGTAAATCTGTCAGAATAAGCTAACATTTGGACTCAGAGTTCACATTCCATCAATGTGATTCTCAGTGTTGGAATGCTTTTTCCTTTGGCATTTTTCCAAGTTTGTTAGTTCTCTTTCAATGAGCATGCATGTCATCCACAGAAAGAAAATTTCCACCTGTCTACAGATACAGGATAAAACAAATGCTTATTAATGGACTGCTTCCCAGACTAACTGACCAAATACAGAATATAGAACACATACCTAACCAGACTGATAAAAGACAGTATTTTAATCTGCATGCACTCTCAATAAAATAACATACTACACTTACACAATTGGAGAAACAACAACAAAGGAGGCAAATGTCTACATGATGTGAGTGCTATGTTTACAAGTAATAAATATTTTTAGGTAAGTGGACAACACAACAACATAATCTACAGAAGTTTTTCTTTCTGTAAAATACAGTACTTTGCTGTACACATTCATACTTGCATGACCCTAGACATACTTCTGCATTCCAAGAAGGTTTTTTTATAATCTCTAGGATGAAAAGTTAGTTTTCAGTTAAGCTGCAAGAATACTGATATTTGAGTGTCAATATAAATTCTGTTCCTTTCACAGCTAAATTTTAAATAATTTTTTCTGTAAACTTGCAACAAATCAGGTCTTCCCAAAAACCAACAATCACCATCTGGAGAACTGGGATCTCTCCATCAATTGATCTCCAAAGATAATCTGAATATTCTGAGTCCTAAAATAGTTAATAAAAAATTTAATTTGTGCATTCAGTTGTGTAAAGGAGGGGAGAATGTTTCAGATCTGGGGGGAAAAAAAAAAAAAAAAAAAGAAAAAAAAAAAAAAAACCCCACAACATGTGTTACTTCAGCATTTGATTTTTTTCATTTTAAGGAAAAAACATCTGATTCAAAGCCTAACTAGCTATGAAAAACAATAAATGAAATAATATTTCCATTCCTAATTTTTGTTCCTCAGACCAGTACTCTTGCTAGCACAAAGCTAATGGATAACTTGAAACTAAATCTAACAGGTATCTTTGAGACTATAACAAACCTACTTCCCACAGTCTTTTAGGAGAGCAAGAGGGTTTTTCAAGTATTGTGTGCAAGTCAACAAAGAAAGAATTCCATGAAAAAAATATCTCCTCCCTGAATCTACAGACATATTTATACCATGCAACAAAGTGCAATGATAGCAGGTGTAAGTAGAATCATTTTCTGCTGTTAACTGTTACTGTGTAGAAAAGACTTAAGCTCAAAACCTAAAGACAATAGTGTATATTACTGTGTTGTGCTTTTTTAAACTGAAATATTAGGCTAATAGAAAGAAATATAAAACCTTCTTTCTGTTATTTAGAGAATTGTCAGAAGCAGACATAAGTGTTCAGTTGTAGAAGTGGAAAATTTGTACTTTGTGTTTCCTTATCTGTTTTACTTCTATTTTTGAAAGATGTGTGTAGACGTTTTAACTGCTAGTTAATAATAATAATTCATACTTTTTACAGACTATTGCAGAAGAGTTTTAATACCATTGTGTAACATACTATAACAAGATTGTAAAAAGAACTATTATGGCCAAAAGTAAACCATTAGCAGAATGTATTTATCAAAAAGTAGGACATACAACCTGTCACAAGATATCAGTTGCTTAGACAGAGTTTTATTCATTCTTAAAATGAATGAATTATTTTGCAATATACTTTTGTTGAGACATTTAAAAAATCTTGATTTTAAAGAAAGCACACAAAAAGGAACAATAGATATATTAGCAATGTCAACAGGACCATAAAGCATGCTATTAAGACTTTCGTGCCCTTCTAACTTTCTTGCAGGCAAATGCAAGTTTCATAGAATAGCTTATTAACAATATTACGGAAATCAAGTAGGAATCACATAAAGAAACATAATTTGCTACCGTGACTGCTTACCAATGTTAATATAATGAGCTTACTTGGGTTTTAACATTACTTGGAAACTTAACTAGAAAGTATATATATTAATATTAGTTTGTGACTTAAACAGAAAGCTAGTTAGGCTAATTTCTTTATAACTGTGTTTTTGTCAAATTGCTATACTCAAATTTTAAGACAAGGCAGTATTTAAGCTTAAATTATTTATTGAGAACTTAAAAAAAAAAAAAAGAAAAGAAAGTAGAGATACTTAGATATATTTCAGTTTCAACTGGGATTTCCTGAAAAAAAAGTGGAATTAATAACCATCAAGAAGGAAGAAAAATTACAATCATGCTGCATGCATCAGAATAGCTTGAGTGTTCATAAGCCAAAACTGCCAACCAAAGCAACCCAGGAAGGTGCTGAGTTGATAAAGGATAACAACAGTCAATTTCAAATCCAGTGAAGACTGACAGAAGATTTTTTCCTCCTGGCATAAAGTCGCAGAAAAGGGTTATAAATCTCTGATTTGAATGAGGAGTGCACTCTGTTCTCATCCCTAAATACACTGCTCATCACAGACATATCCAATTGAGTTGCTACATAATCAAGAGAGGGACGGAAGGGACCTCCAGGATTGTCAGGGGCCTCATAACGTAACAGCCATACAACTGCATTAAAAAACAAACAAACAAAAAAACCCACACAAAAAAACAAACAAAAAAACCCAAACCAAGCACACAAAACATACTTCAATACGTAGGTTAGATTATCAAGCCATGCCAGAGTTTACACCTTTTATTTTTCTCCTAATTACTTCTATGAACACTGCAACTGAAAATAGTAACAAATTTTCAGAACTGTAAAATGGTTAAAATTATGTATTTCTGTGGAAGAGAACATTACATGTCACCTAAAATAAAAGGGGATTTTTATAACTGGCAAAATGGATTTGATGGTCTTTCATCACCAATAATACGGGCATACACTGCCGCTCTCACAAAATTCAGGGTTTCCACTAAATTGATACAGTTAAACTCTCTACCAAAGGCAATATGCCAGCACTTCCTACTTGTAAGCACTGGCAGATTCCAGCAACTTCTTTCCTTAAGAAGTTTTACAGTCCTTCAGGCTGCAAATGACCTCTCCTGCCTAGGTTACAAGGAAAGTAGTATATCCAGGTTTTCTCTGCAGGAAATGTATCTCCCTAATTCTTCTGTACTACATGACAACCTTTGTAATGAGCTACACAGGCCATACGAGTGTAGCAGTTACAGAAGTCTGGCTGACATCTCCCTTACCAATGGAGCTGGGAAATCACCTATTACATTGTAGACCTACAAAAGTGCATTAGTAATGAGAGAAAAAGTAGTGTTTAATCTTGGATTTAATTAACATTCATTGGTTTGCCTGTTTGAAGAAATATCCTTGAATGGCTTCTTTTGAATAACTGACTTGGGTAGCTACCTTGTTTCAAATTAGTTTGATTTTATCAACACGAACAGCACACTACAACTGCCACAATGCACTACAATTTGTTTCTCATAAGTGAAGTGGATTAACTGGGAAAAGATATTATATCTTAGATTTGAATTATCGGAGGATACAAATTTACACTTTTCAAGACTTACAGTTGTGAAGGGCATACGCAGAGTGACCAGAGCCTTTTTTGTTGTTGTTGCCATTTTAGCATGAGTACTTTTATTAAAAATATCTATCATGCATTTTAATGGGAGGGAAAGAGAGAGGATTTAACACACTTTAAGAGAGAAAAATTTAAATGACACATTACATCACAAAAAAATACTGGGAAATACAGAAACCTCAGAATAAAGCCTTGCAAGCAAGTTTCTTTTCTTTACATGCATGTGCAACTAACTAAATAGTATGAACATGGCAAACTAGGACTATTATAATTGATGATGTTGTTGAGTACTTAGTAACTTTTCTCACTTATATTTTTAACCTTCAAAGTTGAACAAAATGGTTTGATTTTTTTAAAAATTGGAGGCAAAAATATTCTGCTATTGGGAAACTGCATGCTGAATCACAAACTTCCTAAAAGAAATGGAATAAAAATAAGCACAAAAGGAAAGGGGAAGAAAACAAACTGCTGCCTTCATAATCCTTTACTCACTCTACCACTTCCAGAATATACAGTACTACAGGAACCCTTGGCTGACTTCTCTTGCACATTGTATTCAATTTTTTGATAACTAACATCCCTGAAAATAAGGTCTTCTTCTTAAAAGTAAGCTCCTAGCTTTTTAATCATTACTCTAACTACAGGAAACTAGGTAAACGTAGCCTCATTAAATCAAGTTTATGGTAATGCCATCCAAATGAAGTAGCAGTCATCACTATTCACAATCATTCAGCTAAAAGATTTCCCACGGAGATGTCCCAAAAATAATGCAGCTGTCAGTGTTCAACATGTACCAGAAAGAAAACTATACGGTACTTTTATTCTTTGCAAAAAAAAAAAAAAAAAAAAAAAAAAATTACAAATATATTCCACATAGTTCTTTTTGGAATGGAGTTGAGGGGCAAGGGTTGTTGAATTTTCTATTTTATTTTTTAACACAGTTATATTATGAATAGAGATGCGTATGTATAATTTCAGACCATGGACTGCTTTACATTGCATAGTCACAGTCAGCCCTGTACTCTTCAAACTCCTGAAACCCACACTAGAAAATAAGTCAACTTGACTTCCAAACATGTGGTCACAGACATACTCCAGTTTGGGATGATTACTTGCAACAGTCATTCAAGACAGGAGATGTTTTATCTTTAGAAGGTCTCCAAAAGCTATGTCTGGCTTACAGGCATGTAGGCAGGCAAGAGATTGGATCACTGTCGTTTTTTCAGACAGAAGAATGAGAATAAAAAGAAAAAGAGAAATGGTAGTAATTGTATATGTGAATGACCCATCTCAAAGACTGTAACTACTCATAAGAAAGAATATTTTCTATCATTGAAGAGTTGGGTAGGTTTCCACCCCAACTTTGGGTAATGTTCCACACATTGAGAATTACCATGACTTGGGGTTTGAATCTTTTATATGAATGATAGTTATAGTATACACTTGGAGGCAAATGATCATCCATAAACATATGTAGGCACTAAACCATCCTATCCACAGTTTCCTGCTACAGTGTAATTTTTCTGGTTTTGTTGTTTTATTTTGGGATTTGTTTTTTTGTCTTCTGGCAAACCACCTTCAAAGAAACAAAGTAGTCATGGAGTAAGGGACAAAGTGCGGTCAAAGATCAAAACCAGATTATAAAAAGGAGTGAGAAATGGCAGATATACAGAGAAATGGCCTCGCATCTTAGTTAAAGTTATCTTAGCAGGACTAGTATTTTCACGCATGAAACATGGAAGAACTGGTAAAAGGCAAAGCCGTTAAATTAAATGTCTAAGGAATTTTAACTCAGTCAAGTCTAGAGAAGATTGTCATGAATTCCAGAAGAAACTAACCAAAGTAAGCAGGACTCATGACAAGTGAAATTTTGTATTGATAACTAAATTTAAAGTAAGCATAGTGGAAGAAAAAATATTTCAGTGTCAAAATTCAGCTGAATTAAAAATCTTGGGCATCATTTTCAATAGCTCCATAGTCACATGAACGTAAGGGAGACCTATTATTAGCTAAGTAATACCTTAGACTGCATAAAATGCAAGATAAGAAAAACATATTTTGGCGCTATTCTATAAATCAATAGCCTATTGTCATTTGTCAACTAGTGGATGCTCACTTCTAATAGCCTGGTGAAGAATTAGTGTTAAGGGAAGACATCAGGAAGAAAAAATTACAGGTATTATAAATTCTCACACATGAAGAATGTTTGAAAATTTTAGGTATGCTTAGCCTGAAAAGAGATTAATAAAAAGAAACATAGTAAGCATATGAAAGAAATAATAGCTCAGTGAGAAAGGACTCATCACATATTTCTTTTTCACATTTTATTACAACAAAACTGACCATCCAATACAGCTAAAATGTTTCAACTAACCTAAAAGACTTATAGAATAAACAGGGTAACATTATTTGTTCATAAAATACCTAAATAACTTTTAATGTGTTGCTGTATATTTGCTAAACCCAATAATTTAGTGCTATTTTTGATGACCTGCACAGTTATAATGCTAAAAATATCAACATTTCTCAAAGCTTTTTGGAAAATGCATATCACCATTCTTCAACTTAAACCTCAAAGACAATTACTAAGGAAACACGTCCCTTCTGCATAGTTTCTAGATCCTTCCATGTGAAAGTCATAGCATTTGTTATGCAGCAGTAATACATTTATATGCTTCTAATTTCTATCATCTACCAGAGATTACTTAATAAAACAAAACCCAGTGTCATTTCCTCTGTAATACAGAAAATACTAAAACTTTATAAAAAAAAGGGGGGGGGGGGGGGAGAATACTGATTTTCTTATGTGTGTCTCAGTGTTATGGGATGAACCCATAATGATTAATTTCGTATTTTAAATGCATAAACATGAAAAAATGTTCAGTTCTTCCCATGACAGAAATTTTTATTATTGAGTCCTTTTTAACAAATTTATAAATAAAACAGAAACAAAAATGGCCTGTATGATGGAAATTGAGCCAAGGATGTTAGACCTAATTCTAATTCTGAACCTAATGCCGTAACTTTCTGTAAATCACCTGCTCATGCTCATCACCAGGCTTCCTTCTCAAGATAATGAGGATAAAGATAGTTACCTTTCTTGGAAGTGCCCGAGGATATAATACACTTTCTGAAAGGCTTTAACCAGTTGTGCTACTAATATGAAATATTTGGATTCTGTATGTATTGTGACTTGGCACTGGTTTCACTCTTAATATTGTTTCTACATTTATTTTTAAATGAGAATAAATTACCTCTATAAAAAGAAAAGCCCTTTATCATAGATTATACACATCTAAATAAATTTTAGGAGGAGCTAATTGGGCTCCCAGCAATTTGCTCAGTAAGTAAATTAATTTCAAATTCACTAGAAAACAATGTAAGCATTTATTTAATGCTTCAATTTTGAGCTTCTGTTCTCCTAAACTCCTTTTACTTTTGTTACTCATTGTACATACTTGGAGGTCCTAGTCTTGAACTAAGGCCATGAACACTGTAAAACATACAATAGGAAGACAATCACTCTCCAGAGACATACACATGTTTAGATAAGACAACAAATGGATATGGTGAAAGAAGAGAAAAAGGTAGAGAAAGGCCATATTTATCACCATGAAAAGTAGTTACAGTATACCATTGCCAAACAGTGACATCGAAAATGAAAGAATGAGTAACAGTTCTCAAGAAGGAGTTGAAGGAAGACAATAAAGTGATGTCTCCTGCATAATTTACAGGGAGTTTTTTCAACAGAAGTGTGTCTTTTTTATTTAACAAGCAACAAATACATAGCTTGGTCACAGAAGAGAAGGTTCCAATAGCTGAACTGTGAAATGTGGAATAATGAAAATCTGAGAAACAAATTTAGCCATTTACTTAGAGAAAAGATCAGACATTAAGGGTGACCACACAAAACAGAGTGGTGAGGTGCACACACACAAGGAAAAACAAACCAAATACAAATAAAACAGACTACATCAAATATCTTTTTGATCACTCTATAAATAGCTGCATCCATTCATACGTGAATAAAGGTCCCCAAACCCTCAGATCAAGTTTTGTTTAAATTTTATAGACACACACAAGCACATGTATTAAAAAGGCTTTATGCACTCACAAATATGAGCATCTATGAAAAGCTTCACACATCCGTTGAAACAGTCTAGGCCTGGAGAATATACTATACAAGCACTTCAATTTTGCACACTCAAATTTTTAAAAATGGGCTGCTTGTTCAGAAGTTTCATACAACGACTGTCATATTTTTATTTTTAACACTGTGCAAACATATGTATGCATTCTGATACTCTAAAGAATCAAAAATAGAAACCAGAGACTTATCTTTTACAATAAAACAAAGGGTCCAAACAGGTAAGTACAGTCCAGTGAAAAACACAGATCCAAAAAAACCCACAAACAAACAAACCAACCAGCCCAAAACAACCTACAACAAAAACCCAAAACCCCAAAGATTGTCTTGAAATACTATCATTCCATATACATATAAAATAACGTTTGAAACAAACGTTCTAATTTCTTTTGTAATTCATTCATACACAAACACTTAAAACCGTCATGTAATTATTCTATTACAAGGGTATAGCTAAGTGCTATATATATATGGATTACAAAAAAAGTTTACCTTGATTTAAAAGCTCTGCCCTCTTACCTGTAGATAAGTTATTCTCCTCTGTACCAAATCTGTTAGATCTTTGGCCTCTTTCTCTCGCCAATCTCCTGCTCCATCTGTTTGACTGAGGTAGTACAAGTCGGTCATTATCGACCTGTAAACAACAATAGAAAACAACCTTAAAAAAATGGGAAACAATCTTAACATTACTAAATTGGAGGATTAGATGAAATCAAAGACAAATTAAACAGATATTTCAATTATAGCCTCAAAAACAGTTTCTTCATGCCACCTCCTACGCCACAATCCAAACAGCAGCCAAGAAAGAATGTCCACCATTTAACATATGTTCCATACCCATGAGTAATTATAGTATTAAACAGGAGATGGGTTAGAAAAACTCTATAAAGCATTTGTTTCTGGTATGTGCTAAAGGAAATTAAAAAGAAAGAATAGTTCCATGCTAGATACATTACCCAGTGGCCCCACATGAAAATGCAATAGTGATTCCTACAGTAGCTTCTATTATAATGCATTTTACTTTGCCTCCTACAATCATCTTACTATGCTTGTATAGAATATAATATTACAAATGTCTTTAGCATAGGTACAGCAGTAATCCTATTTTTATTAGTGCAAACTAACTATAGAATATTATTACAAGGCTTAGTAAACAGTATTTTCTATACCATGGAGCTCCTTCTGACTCTGGAAGAAGGTAAGCGTTCTGCCTGCTTAGAATGACTGCATGCTACTAATATTCAAATGGAAAAAAAATTTAAAACTTAAAAAATTCAAAACAGACTCGCAACCATATTACAAGTCTAGAATACAAAACATGAATTTTGAGGAACTATCAAATATTAAATTGAGGTTTTCTAATACACTAGAGATCCTCTTAGAGTTATCACATTTCGGTGGCCAAATAAGAGGATAAAGATCTTCTTGTCACGAGAAGAAAAATGGTATATGACATTTATTTGCTAAGATTAGCCAGGAATTTTGTGAAAAACAGCCCAAGCAGTACCATGCAGGAAAAGATTTTTTTATATCTGTGCCTCTTGGGAAGAAATACAAAACTAGAGGAAAACTATTCAAAATATTTGTAAAAACATTAATGGCTATTTTACAAGTAACAGGTAGCCCAATTCAGAACCAGTAATTTCAGAGTTGGCTTTATAGACTGAGAATATTTAAAGTTGCTAAACATTTCTCCATAACAATGCTAAAGTTTCAAGTTTGAACCACTTAATTCTTTCATCTGAACTTCAGATGTTGCAATTTATTGCCTGAAAATCTTGATAAGCTACAAGTTTGATCACTAGGCAGAAACGCAACAGAACAAAGGCAGAGAAATTTGGGAGGTGACAAAAAAGCGTGTGAGAGGAAGACAAGTATATTTCCTAACAACCTTTGAGGTGGTTTTGTCAGCTAAGTAATACAAGACACCACTGTTGGCAGCACCTGTTAGTACTGGAACCACAAACCTAGTTAGCTAAGGCTATCCCTTGTAAATAAGCCTAGCAAGTGAGAGAGGGGCAGATGATGGTATCTGTATTGGGTAACTATTTCCAATGACACAGTATTTTAAGTGGTAAATATTGAGATAAATCTAATTGGGACAGAGCTATCTATCAGCAGAGTTATCAGACAACTTTCACTAATAACTGAATTTATGGATCTGTATCTTTCCATTCTCATACACTCATTCTGGTTTTCATACCGATACTTCTACACAGGATAACAATGACACTGACTTACTGTATCATCTACTGTTGCTGTATTAAACATTATACCCAAATTGTTCAGCAGCAGTAATGTTCACCTTCTGTCAATCAATTGGAAGTACCATATTTACATTCTCAAACTATATCAGCTGGATTTTCTTTTACAAGGTCACTGAGCTTGAAACACTGGCTTTGTACAAAAATTAAAACAATTGAAAGTATCATCAGGTAACTAGTGTCAAATCACTAACTATTAAATACACATAATACTCAAAGTAACATGCAAACACAGTTTAGGGACAATTAGAACAGAATTAATGATGCAGTAGATCTAATACAATGGATTATATACAAATAACAGATAAAGAGTCTGTTCCTCTTAAAGCAGTGTTTTCCAATTTATAGAAAGCATTACAGGCTAGTAGACAAATTAAAAAAGGAAACCCATGCATTTTCTTGGGAGTTTAAATATATTTTTCTTCCCAATCAGGATGCAATCATGTTGGATGTTTAAAGAAAAACTATGAATTTCAGGTCTAAACATTTTTTAAAAAATCCTCTACTATCGTTCAAAGCAGCTGCGCAACCACAGCCACATTTTAAACAATTTTCAAATGCTCTCTTTCACTGGCCTTAAAAAAGTCTTTTCTGTACTTGTGATGTAAGTAATCAGTATACTCTCCTTTTACTTTATACGAATATATTTCTATTAAATACTGGCATAAAATAACTGAAAATACAAGGCCTATCAATAAAAAAAAAATTTTCCTCTCTCAGCAGTCAAGTAATTTTTCCTATTTCTAAGGAAAAAAAGTGTTGTTCAAATTTTATTTTTTATATTATTGGCCATGGTGATCATGACAAAGCAAAGGCAGTAGGTAAGTTTAAAAAATCAGCCTTACAGATTAAATACAATTATTTTCCATGATTTTTGAGGTAAGAGGAATGATGAGAGAGTTCTTACACAGCCTCAGTGACTCAACACTTTAGGGAAAGGCAGCTTTGCTCAGTACGAACCATAAAGAATATCAAATAATTTGTGGGCAATTTCATGAATTCATGCAAGAGTTTTCAGATAGCATCCACAATCTCTTTTAAAAAAAATTTACTCTTATAAAACTCTGAAGGAAACCAGGAACTGAAAAATTCACAGGTGTTATCACACAGAAATGATTATAGGGTAGTGTAATTTTAACACACTTTCAGTCACAGAGACCTTTCTTTGACTGCTACTGCTGGGAAATGTGCATTTTTTAGGTTTACATCTGCTAGGTTCTTTTGAGTGTGACAGACCATCACGATGGCTTACTAATACAGATTTAGAAGAGACACAGACTAATACCAAAGACCAGAGTCAGGCTCCATGTGGAGAGCTAAAAAGTAGATGGGCTGGTAATCCATGAGCCCAAGATAGCTAAGTGCAGACAAAAGATGAGCCTGCACAGGATTATTACAGCCTATTGTGGGCGGTAAAATGGCTGAAAGAATTTCAGACACTGGCATTGCAGATATTTAGTAAGTCAAACTTGGTCTTTCATTGTGTTATGAACTAACAATATCCATTTGTTGTTGTTACTTTTGTTTCTTATCATAAATTAAATCTCAGAGCTGCTCTTAAAAGCATTTTGCTCCTGGAAAGCAGAATGGAGTATAGAATCTGGCTATATATTTCATCTGCATTTGATTGTCACAAACAAAGAGGGGAGGGTGGGCATTTTTAACACATTTTTAGAGATCAGTCTAGACATTTATTCCAGCCATATGACAAAACTGCATTTAATGCTCCTAGAAACTTTGCATCAACGAATAAAAACTCAGATAAAAAAATGTGATATGTTCCACCAAATTCAAGGGAAATAATGTGAAAATATGCCCAAACACTATGCATCAAACCTTGGCCAGCAATCACAAAAGCCCTGATGACAGCTGTTCTCCAGGAGCAGAAGGAATGAAACTAAGTCAGTAACAGCCACTTTGCAAACAACGTAATGCCAACATAGAAAACAACGATGCCAACTAGAGGACTAATCTGTTCTTTTTTGTTAACTCTATATTAAATAGTCTTTCCGCTGTTAAGATGAAGCTACTCTCAACAACCCTCTTCCCTACTGCAACTACAAGAATACAATTACATATTCCATAATGCAGGAAAATGTGCATCGGGCTACATTGTTTCTTAAATAGAATCAGTAGTGAAATACCAGACAAAAACATCTGCTAAGACCAGCACTCTCTGGGAGAAAATCTACACAACCCCTAGGACACAGCCAAGAAATAGTGATTAAGGCATCCAACAAGAGAAGCACTATCGTATTAGTAGTAGACCATTTGCATAACAGCACCAAGATTGACAAAGAACTCTAATACTACTTATCCAGAAGTCTTCTCTATGACACAACAGGCTTTCCTCACGAACAAAAAAAAATTAAATATTAGCCACCTTCCTTACATAGCTACTGCATCATTTGATCACTATCCACACCTTTATGTGCTTTCCCACATAAGGAGTGCATTACAAACTTCTTTAAGTACTTATAATTAACACTAATCTTTCTAATCCAAATATTAGATTATAATATATATTTAAATATCTAAGATATATATGTTTATGTGTATATATATATATAAAAACAAGTAATACCAGCTTCACATGCAGTGTTCCATTTATCTAAGATACATAGGTAACAATTTGTTAAGACATCACCGCCAACAAAAGGGCATTCAGCAACTTGTTAAATCCCTTAAAAAGATCAACAAGTATGCATGTACTTAAAAAAAAAAAAAAAAAAAGGCAACAACAAAACAACCCCCCAAAAAGTTGTGGTTCTCAGAGTGAACGAGAGCATCTGATTTGCTCATTCTAAACTTATGTTATGTTCCTTTCAGGAGAAGAGACCAGATGGACCATGTGTAGGGAAAAAGAGACCGCTTCTTCCCTGAGGAGCTGCTGTGTATCCTAAGGGAAAAGAACACCCCAGAGACAGCAGTGCATCACAGGCCAAAGGATGTGCCCACAAGGAGCTGGGAGTTTTCCTGCAAGTCACGCAGCAAGACTGAAAGATTAAAGGGAAAGAAGCAGACAGCCTGACCTCAAAGGGAAAAGAATGAGCTTCCTCGGGACTAGAGGCAACAAAGAATAGCATTCTGCAATGCAAGATAATTCTATTGCCCGAAGCCAATGTTGTAAATATGCCAGGAACACAGGCTGAATATTGTAGAAACATTTTTGTATCTATTTTCCCTTATGCAACTGCTTTGAATTTCCATATTGCAAAAAAAAACATTCTACATTTTATTTTAATAAAACCCAGTTTCTGGCTGTTTGGTTTTAGCTTAAACGACTTTTAGTCTTCTTTGGGGACCTCACCACACAAGAAGGTCTACACAGATCTACTACTAAGACTCAACAGACTCCAGGACATTCTGCTTTTGATAACCACTGTGTTAGTCTAAAGAATACTTTTATTCAACAAGAAAATTCTTAAGTACAGGGGGAAAAAAAAAAAAAAAAAAAAAGGAGAGAGCAACTGTGATTGCTTGCATCATATAAAAACATCTCGAGTACCACAGTGGTTTTGGACTTCCACAGTGGGATTCATCTCAACATCCAGAGGCCTGCGAGGAAGACTTTTATTGTTCAATGCAAACAAGTATGCGTTTCTAGTATGGGTTTCACCTCATCCTGAAGTACCGAGAGATGTGAAGATAAGGCTGTCAGAAATACAGAAACTTGCAGGTTAGGCCTAATGAATTAATAGTTATTGGTGTAGGAAGGAAAGGAATAAGAAAAGGATTCATCCTGGGAGGCAGGGACTTAAAAACTTTCTGGCATCAAACATACATTATTCAAGGTTCCACTGTGGCAACTGCCTGATGTGATCCTGGCTATATAAACAGACCAGTAAATGTGTAGACAAGTGATTTTGTTCTCATGACAGACATCAGTAAGTCTGGCATTAGACTACTTGCTGCAGTTTTGGCACAGATAGTTTAAAAGGTACATGAGGAATCAATGATCTTAAGTCTAAGAAACCCAAACAGAAATAACTTATCTGGAGAGCAAATATTTCTGGGTGGAGGTAACTATTGAAATGAAACTGTCCAGGGAAGTGGCAGCTTCTCTGTCAGTTGACTGTTAAACTGAAGATCTCAAGTCTTTTGGAAAATTCTGCTTCAGCCAAGCTCTACTTTTATTTCAGTCAAACATACATAATTGCACTCAGCAGAGGAATAACTGGATGAAATGTAATAGCTTATTTTATATAGATAATATCTCTTGATAATTGAATAGTCCCTTCTCTCTTTAAACTCCATCAATCTGTGACAAACTGGGTTTTGGAATTGTGGAATATTAAATTAAAAAATTTAATGGACTATATTATTTGCCCACATTAATAATCAAATTCATATTATTTTTAAACTGTTCTAAATAGTGTTTACATTATTTCCAAATAATTGAAAATTCTTACTGTTTTTTCCTTTTACTACAGTATTTTGAAGGCTCATGCTTTACTACTGATGTTCACACAAGCAGATCGCAGCTTTTTTTGGAAAAGAGATACTTGTTTAAGGTGGTATATTTAGTTAATTCAACTGTTTTCTTATGACTGTTTACAAATGAGATACAAATTGCCATTGCAGTCCTGTTGGGAACAGAGTTATAAATATAATAAGCTTACAGACAGATTTTACTGAATTTTTAACACTTCCTGGATTAATCTTGTTCAGCATGAACAAAACTCATACAGAATGTTTTAGTATAATTCAAGAAGTACTTCAACAATGGGGAGGCCAGAAGATCAACAACAACTGAAAATATAATTCCAACACATCTTTGAACAACGTAATAATGACAGTGTAATTAAAGGTAATTTCTATCTGAAATATTCTGTTAAATTCTAATTACAAAAAGAAGTGACTTTTCAGAATGAGAATTAGTCCTGAAATTAAGATATTACCCAATTTTAAAGTAATTCCAATTCTATAATATCCCAATGATCAATGTAACTTATATTCTAGTATTTATGAAAGGCACAATCAGATACCTAAAATAAATATTTTAAGGGTTTTTTAATGGCTTTGTTATATGTACAAATATGCAGATATAAGCATATATAGACAGATGTAACTGAAAAGCAACAACTGGCAGGCAGGACCCAGGTCTTCTGATTACAAAAATGAAAATATATCAAGTTAAAGGGTCATACTCTAAGCTATAGTGACATAAACTGGATATATACTTTGTCCCATGAAATACAAGTAATAATTTCATGTTCATGCTTCAGACATGATATTTTAGCCCACATACCAGTAATTTATCCTAAGAGATTTTTAAGAAGTATATCCGTAGCTTAGTTAAATCAATCCATAATCCTTACAACACATATGCAGAATCAACTAATACAAGTACCTTTCCTGATGACCCAAATCAGACAGAAATTCATCAACGCGTCTTTGCAGTTCACTTCCTTCTAGATTTTTCAACTTCTTCAGTTCACTCTGGAGGAAAAACCAAAGTTCCTTAGCCCCATTTTCAATCCTCCTCCTCAATATTTCATGGTCTTTTCCAAGGCCTCCTATTAAGAAAAAAAAAAAAAAAGCATAAAAGCATCAGCACTTGTAGCTGAATTATTTGTTAAGAAATCAATACATTTGTGATATGGAATACCAAAACTTGTTTTAGAAGTAAAAGAAAACTTATCTACCAACCATCTCCTGTCCGCTTCTTATAGTTTTCTATCTGTTCTTTGGCCTTTAAAAGTTGCTCCTCTAAAGCATGTACCTTTCCTGCAGCTGGTCCTTGATCAATGGGACCATCTGGTATCCTAGGATATAGAAAATAAAGAAATTATATGACTTACAAAATATAATTGTTTTTTGATAAATTATTTGCATTAACAGTTCAGCTTTCCTGCCATTTTTGTTCCATACTGTTTTTCTTATAAGCCTTTTTGGCATTTTCTTAAAACCAGAAGAAATTAAACATATTAACATAAATAAAGAATTTTAAACCTCAATCCCATAGGAGAAAAACAGTTCATAACAGAGCTATAGCACACAGATTCAACCTGGTGTTAAACTGTGCTGTTTACAAGACCTCCACTCACTGACAAGACCAGTCCTCAGCTCTACTTGTGAAAATATTATTTGCAGCAGCTTAACTCAGACCATTTGCTGGACTGACTGGCACACAAGCAAAGCCTAATCCAGGGATGTGCCTTCACAAGAGTCAATTTCTGGCTACTTTTTATATTCACACAGGAAATACATTCTAGACTTGAATGCTGGCCATATATCCTTAGAGGAAAAGAACTCCAGCACTGGAACTTCACTTTTAAGTCAAGTCTTCCTACATATTGGCACGAGAAGATTTCAGTGTATTTTCTGGACTCAGAACAAGATCCTAGCTTCTTAAATGTACCATTGTGATAATTTTTTTAATGACAACTCTGGTATTCTAAACTGCTGGTCACCTAAAACATCACCAGCAACTGTAACATCCATTTGTGAAATTTCTGGTATGTGAGCACAGGAGAAGCATTGAAATATGTATCCTGAAATCTATAAGCCATAAATTAGCCATGAGGGTATTACTGAGGTTTGATCATCATTTCAGCTTGAATCCACATATTAATAAACTGAAATTATTACAGTATAGAAATTTGATGGATCTTCTGTTCACCTCACAAATTAAAATTTAAAGCAGGGAAAATAAAACCCCCTTTCATCTCGAGAGAAATGACACTTCTGGTAGATCCAAGGGTTAAAAATTATTCCACCTTTTATAAGACTTTTGTAAGAGCTGACCCTGAAAAGGAAAAGAGGAAGCACGTGTGTAATGAAAAATCTTGAAAACTGTAAAGAATACAGAATTCTTGCAGAACATGAAGATGATTCTTCATTTGTAATGGAGTAGGAGCATAAAAAGAAAGGGATATTCTCTCCACACACACATACACAGAGTTTCAAGGCACCATACGGGGAGACCCCTTGCCAGACAAAAGATGCCTCTAGCATAGAGAAGATAGTGGTTAGAGGGAGTATCTTCACCCTAAATCAAAAATGACAGCATTGTAAAGATCCTAGTGAGATGTCATTAACTTTAATGTCTCTCAGATCTGGAAAATTAAATACCAATAAAAATTTAGGAACTGATGAAAAGTCCGTTTTCACTGGAACATTTCAAGGGAATAAATACCTAATGTGAGCATCAGAAAGGTATATCACACAAAGCATAGCATTTAAGCCTCTTTTTTCAGAAGGGAGTGGGAGAGGTGGAAGAGGAAGCTACAAAACCTGACAGAAATGTAGTAAAAAATTCTGCACTCTTAAAGCTCCCTATTGAAAGCAAATTAGGGATAATTGAATTATTGCAAAATATTTATTTGTGTTTTAAAGCTACCATGGTAAATAAAAAGGAATTATCAATAACTGGTCATATATCTGCTTTTTTATGCACTGAGGGAAGAAGCATGACAAAGCTGAGGAAAATACTCTAATCTTAAACATGCGCACTCCCTGAATATACTCCCTCTGTAGGAATGTACAGTATGATACCATGTTGAGATACAATACTGTATTGCCATGTACAAGACAATACAAACAAACGTTTTAAAAAAAGCATATCGAAACACATTTGAGGTCTTGCACTAGTTTAAAACCACAAGGTTGAAATATATTTGTGATCTGCCAACTTGGTAGCACAATTTGGATTGTGACAGGACAACTAACCACAAAATTACCAGGAAAAATGGAATGGCTTATCTTGCTTAAGTCACATTCCCTAAAGGCAGAATTTGTGAAGAACAATAAGGTAAAAGGATACAAATTCATTACCATAAGAAATCTTCAGACAGCACACACATCCTCTGAACACAAGCAAAGTCTGTTAAAGTAGCAATTACAGAATCCTACAGAAGGATGGTTGTGGATGATATGAAAGAAGCACAATAATTCTGACCATTTGATACAATTAAGATTTTAAAAAAGAAAAGTACATGCCATTTAACATTCAACTTGCTTTGGCATATTGCAATAAAAACATTTACTATACTTAGGTTGTTAGACAAAAGGAGCTAGGATGGGAGTGGGGGGCATTCTCCTAACTCCTAAGCTAGTTGTTTGGACTTTCAAAACTTACATCATTTTAGGATAAAACTAAAATAAATTATTCTTTTTGCAGTTTTGTCTCTACATCTATTACCTCATCAGACTTGGAACTGCTGTCTTCCTCACTTTCATCCAGTCTCAAAATTAAGGAAAAGGTTCTTCTCTGCAACCAGCACAGCTTGCTTGTTACTGCCCTCTACAAGTACATCAACTGAGTTGGAGATAAGGCAACATTTGAGGGAGAAGTGTTTGAATTAAAATCCTTATCTATACTCATGGCATCATCTATGTAGGTAACTTTTAGTGCAGAATATCCTAGGAATAACGCATACTTATGAATAAGAATGCCTGTTGAAAAACATATACATAAATTTTCATACCAAAATAACTCCTGACGAGTGACTTGCTCCTTAAAATTTGAGAAGTGAGTTTAAAGTTTATCTAAACTATTATGATTCTAATCAACAATAAAAGAACATGTCAGTAAGCATCTAGCATGGAATACCCTTCACTTATTGCTATGATGACATTGTAAATTAAGTTATAAATACAAAATAAAATTATAATCCACTTACATGGGCAGCCATGATAATACATGAAATAGTGGTTTTGTTTGAATTATTTTTCTCAATATTTACAAGGTGTGATTTTTACATAGTGTTTCCTACCATTTTATACTAATATGAATTATCTTTTCCATAATGAACTCATATCAAATAAAGATATTACTGTATAACTTTAAACATCAAAAAGATTATGTTGTAGAAATAACCAGTTTCTGCTTTGCCCTTTGTTTAATAATCTAGCTACACTTAAAGACAGAAAAAAGAATTCTGTGTACATCATCCGTATTACTGAGGCCACTTTTTTGTAACCTTCAGGTAACATAGAGGGGCAATGGCAAAGCAGCAATCTCTAATCTGAATCTCTGAAGGCAAAAAGAACCACTCAAAAATTAATTGTAGTGATGTTCAATTTAGCTGGAAGAACTGCCATACTGTATAAAATAATTGTAAAAATATTTTAAAACAAAAAAATAAATTATAAAAACATTCTAACCTTTTCCTATTTCCAAGGTATTTAAAAGGTTACACTAATTTATCAGCAAAAGGAAAAACGTAAGATTTCACAAGTTCACAGCCAAATATTTTCTCATTCTTTCATTTATATCTTTCCAAGTTCTTTCTATGGAGCTGCAATGTATATATCTAACTAAAGCCACATTATGATTGATTGGCTTCTCTTCTTTCACTTTTTTTTTCCCCAAGAAGAAAACAATGTTTAATTATTAATGACCACTAACACAAACAAACAACAAGAATGTAAGTTGTCACTTCACCCTTCTAAGATAAAACCTCCTCAGTATATAAAACTGAAAGAAAACACTCAATGTTACCTGCAAATAAAGAGTGAGCAGCATCCCTTATCAATTTAAGTCAGCACAGCTCTGATCAGTGCTGATCTATATCCGCTGAAGATGTGTCCCTTCCCTTAATTCAGAATTGCACAAAAACCAATAAAGAGCGCAGAGATGCATACCATGTTGTTCCATGATTTTCCTCCCTCACACATTGGCCTGTGCAATACCCACAGCTTCAAACTTGAGACACTTTAAATACATGTAATAGAAAACAGTACTTTAAAATAATATTTAAATTTTTATCAACCCAAAGCTATTCTTGTATCTAAGTCCCTTTCAATGCTTACTACAGGCTTACTGGGCCCAACAACTGCCCTAAGTAATTGATTGAAGTACTTTAATAGATTTGTTTATGATAACTGATCCTGAGTTTGGATTCTATACTAGCCTCAGTGCCATCTACATTAAAGCAACTATAGTGCTCTTCCAAAATTATAATCTTACCTCTTCTTTCCGAAGCTACACTCAGAACTATGAGAATAATGTCTAGAAATACTGGCATTTGGTTTTATTTGTTTGATTACATTTTGCCCTTTTCCACTTCTGTTCTACTTTATAACACACGATCATATTCAGATTAAGAAACAGGTTATTGAGTTTATTAAAAGAACTGCAGGTTCTACAAAATGTAATATTTAATAGACTGTAGGAAGTAAATATATACATAATGTGATGTATTAGTAATATGAACACAATATAAATATATTTGAAAAGATTCTCTACTTCCCTGAAGAGAACTCTGAAATTACTGGCTCCTATACTGCTAGGTTTACCTTCCAGGAGAGGGTAGCACTAATACACCATAAAAGATAAAAATTTGACTATCACCCAGCAAAGAAGCACATGAATACTACGAACCTTTCATGTATTGCAAGAAAGGATGTCTAGCACACAGGTGAAGGCATATGCACAACTTTTCTGGTTTCCATTTAAGAAAATCAGACATTACAAAAACAGTATAAGCTCTCCTCCTTCTAAAAGCCTTATATCACCTAGACGCAACAGTGACAGCCTTCAGCAGTCGTGTCATAATCATACTAGTAAATAAAATTTTCAGGTAGAACTACGTTACAGGCAAACAATGAAACAACGTTATGTAATACTTTGATTTGATTATTACTCCCTGTCAAGTACAAAAGTTATAGTAAAGATTTCCCTTTGTGCTTTGAGACCTATAACTTCTGTAATAAGTGTTCTTGAAAGGGCTCCTCCAATTCTACTGGGTATAGAATAGTAAAATAACAATCTACAAAAAACTCAGCTTTATTACTATTTTGTACTAATGGGATCTAGGCTGATTCTAAAATGAAACCAGATTTGCTCACACAATATTGTTTATAAACATGTAATGACTATGGTAACTCTCCAAATCTCATTATACCACAATATTCATGCACATAATTTCTAAAACTCAGGCAATACAAAACACCTTTAATTCCATTTATCTTCTGCATCACTAATACACATCTGTGCCTCTTCATAGCCCACAAGTAAGGTTTTTACAAAGCATTACATTGGCAAAAGAAAAACTACAGTAACTTCTCACCCAAGGCTTTTCAAATGCACTGTAAACACTAAGTGGTGCCTGAAGTCATTTCAAGTCATCAGAAGTGCACCACAAAAGTGTACTGAGTTCCTAAAGGAATATTTTTATTTCAGGCAATTTTCAAAAAGATGTGACTCTTCCAACTTGCACTATTGCAAAGGTACATATTAAAAAAAAGTATCTCAAAATAACCTCATCAAAAATCCTTAGAAAAATATGACCTATCCTTAACCGATATGGGTAATAAATTACAAATATTAAAAAGAAAAAAAAAATCAGAAGAACATTATGTAGTTTGTGAAATCAAACATACAAATGTTGGGAAAAAAAACAAAAAAAAAACCCAAACAAACAGACCTCTTACTGCCCTAAAACCTTAATTCTAGTCCTCATGCATTCTGGGTGAAAAGAAGCAACCACGGGAAAAATTACAAGATCAAATATGATTTAAGTATCATAGAGCAAAAAAGGGCTAAGCAAGATTTTATAAAGCTTTGTCACAGATACGACATTTCTCAACTTTTGAATAGTTGATTTTGTATGCACATAAGGTGTGTTTCATAAGGCATGTTTTTGGTTTTCTTTTTTTGTTGTTGTTATTGCCTTTGGGGATGAGGAGCTGCTACATAAACTGGCAGAAAAAGAGCATTCAGATCTCGGAGTGGAAAGATCACTTGTTGTCACTGTATGCTGGCATTCATGGATGGCTAGATGAAACTAAACACAGCCCAGCTCCTATTTTCAACCATCCCAGAGGACTGACACTTTTCTCCGGTGAGAAGAAAGTCAGAGAAGTCACAGGAACCCATTGTAATGGGAAAAGCTAGGCGATTGAAATGTATTGTATTGAAATGTATTTTACCATATAACTAAGGTCCCAATGTAATTAAAGATTAAATACCAGTTTTCTCTAATTTCAAAAAGGGAATTTTTACAACAACTTACACTTTTATTAAATTACTGAATTCTTATAACCATACCTGCTTTCTGTCCCTTCCTCCCTGTCCTAACTAGCTATTATTAATGGCACAGCCACATATTATGGTAAGTTTCTACCATTCACAAAGCTTCTTTTCCCACTAAGATAAATTCTGTTAACTTGGAGCTTTTTACCATCCAAAAGTTTTATCTAATTATGTCAAAATACTTGAACTTGTGCAGTTAATCAGGCGCCTGTTTATTGTTAAAAATTTTCCAGGTAGGCACTCTCATCTTGTTTAAACTCCTCCCAAAGTAACCTTAAGTTAGAGTTATTATTGAAACATGCTTGTATTCATGCATTAGCTTAACCCTGTTGCGTGCCATAATACATTGTATATCTTCACTGCAAAAAGTGTGCTGCTTTTCTGTAGAAATAAAAACCCCCTCTAGTTCTCTAGATACAAAATCTTAGTGGAGAAGGGCAGCAAAACCAAGTTTTTATCTCAGTGTAACAAAATCCAACTTGGCAAGGTTTCCCTTTACAAGCTACACTGATGTAAAGATTGTCATCTTAACCACTCAGATTTCACAGCCAGTATCAGTAATTAGACAAAATTTCCAGCAATTAAATAATATTCAAATAATAGCTACAGCCTTTCTGCCTTTGATCAGTAAAACCTAAAACAAATTATGTCTTCACTGTAAGATGTTAACTGGAGCAAAAGTAATCTTTTCTGTCTAATTCTAATTCAATTTCTGAAGTTAAGAAATGTTTTGTCTCTTTAATATATGTTCGTGGCAGCAGTGATCTCTTCTAGGACACAGATACTAAATCCATGGACTGTTGACTAATGCCTCATTTTAAATAGCCATATTGCTATAAAACTGTAAATGAGAAGATTTTAAAGCTAACAATTATTTTTAACACCACTTGTTCTGTCTGGCAAACAAAGAAATGAGATACTGAAATTCCATATCACATTTATGATTTAATACCTTAATGATGCAGGTTGACCAGGATATTTCTCAAACCTACTTGTGAAGTTTCTATAAGAAGAGCATCATGGATTTTGCTCAATAAAAATAATGAAAAGGCTCTACATTGTGATACATCACTTCCTTCAAACTCTAGTACTTCACCAATCTCAGATCACTTCCAGCAAAAAACTATGCCTGGATATCTTCCAGTCCCAAGCTGGCTCATTTCTGGCCAGCACTGACTACTGAACCTGGAGATATGTTGCTGATCAAATTGGCATTTAAAGTCATTTTAGGCTTTCTCATGCAAGAGTTTCAGATTCTCCTGTGGTTACATACAACCACTTTGAAGAAAGGTCTCAGAAATATTTTTCAGCAACATATCCATAAAAAAGAAGCTGAACAGAGTCCAGTTAAGACAGTTTTGGATCACCTAATCTATTTCTAGAAACTTGCTGTTTCAATTAACTGAAGCATAGAGAAGGAATGTTGGAATGTTCTATTCTAACATGTTTAGATTAGAACTAAACTAATGTTTTTATTTCTATAAATCATGGGAAATTATCAACAGTATAAGCTATTATTTAACACTTGGCCACTGAAAATGTAATATTTATCTGAATATAGATAGGTTAGGGAAACAGAGAAAGGTGTTTAGAAAAATCATCACTGCCTAAAATATAGCTTAGCCTGTATCTATGCATCTCCTGTCCCTATTGCCTCCTTCTTGAGAGGAAAAGAGTCCCCTGTCATAAGTAAAATCAAGAACATTTACTCTCTTCTAGTCACTGTGTAATTTGAAGTGGTTATATTTCAATGACTGTCCAATACATCACATCACCATTTATTCAAGTCAGCCAAACATGGGGGGCTAAAAGCATGGAGGGTGGTAATCTTTACATTCAAGTCCAAATATTTCCCCCTCTGAGGCAAGAAACCCTAAGGTTGACTATTGTTGTCTAATATTAAACGAATTTAAAGAGATCGTATTTTATTCAAATATAGGATCTTGCTTAAGTTTCTTCATAGCAGCATACTCTACGTTACACCATTTCGTCAACAAAAATATGTCAAACTTTTTGCCAATGCAGTTGTTATCATACGTTAATAAATTGAGCGTGGAGAACCACAGACCTCTCAGCCATTTATGGCCATATTACTCAAGGTGAAGATTAACTATGCTTAGTGTAGAGGGCACTTTGGTCAGCAGCATTTCTCCACCTCTGTGCAGCACCACATGAATACAGAGGTACTTCTTAAGGGCTGATACATTCAAAATGAAGACATCTCTTTTTCTAAGCTAAGAAGCCTCGTCAGCATGCAGCCATTATCTACAGTGCATTCCAGAAAGCAGAAACAGAGTGCAGTGAAAAGAGATTTCAGTAAGGCAGGGAAGTCAACCCAGCCACCAGACCAAATACCCCTGGCTATGCATGAAAGAGAGAGAATGCACCAGAAAAAAGGTTAAGAGGAAAGGTATTCATTTCACTGCTACAGAGTACCTATGTGTAATTTCATTAAAATAAAGGGGAGAAACAAACTGACTTAAAGATAAGGTAACAAGAACAGAACTAGAACCATAAAACACCCTAATAAGGTAAACAGAGATTTGTGCAATTCCATAATTTTTTCTATGATTTATGAACCAAAATAGCAAGGTAGAAGATCCAAAATGGCATTTTCTCCTAAAGGGTATCAAAACGCAAGTCCAAAATCAGTTTCGCATTGCCAAGCAAGAACCACCCAAAAGACATGAAGAAGACTCAACTGCCAGTACCCCTTGCTCTCTATGTTCTACACAGGTGATACTGGCCAGACCACTACTACACACATGCCCTGGTGCATGTGAGTATGTAGTTGTGAAAGAGACAGTAAGTGAATTCAGCTCACTTAGAGATTTTTAAAAATAAACATCACCCTCCCATTCTGTAAAATCTTGTATGGAGCTTTGCTCTTCTCTAGCTTCTTACAACATATGAAGCCTCTGCACTTGTCCTCACGACCCATCAGGACTTCTGGGTTGTGTGTGGTGCTGTCCACAAACTTAGGTCCAATCTGACTCTGGTGCACATCCTGCCTAAGAAGCTCTCCCTTGCAAGTTCTTAGGAAAGGAAATACCAGAACTCTGTGTTAAAAGCTATCTGTCTAAAAATGGAAATGTAAACACTTTAAATTGTACTTGTACCCATCTATAATGTAATAAATAATTAGAAAAAGGGAGATGATCCTACTATTTTACAAGTATTGCTACAAGTTTAGCAGCAAGGCAAGGAAAAAAAACTTAGTTAAAAGAATTTATATAATGTAGCACTCTACTACAGCTCATCTTCAGCAAGTCCATGTTTAACTTCAACAAGCTGTACAGATGTTTTCAGACTTCTAAAATGAGCTCCTCCAGTTACTGCATGCAGAAGTGTAGAAAAGTCACTAGCTGTTCTAACTGGTTTGAACATCGTAATAATTGCACTTGTTTGAAATTAGCATTGGAGGAGTTAATCACCTGCAGAACTCTGTTATTGTGACAGTAACACTTGGACACCATTAAATAATGGCTGTTAAATAATTACTATATTACACCAAATGGACTAATTGGTAAATGTACATTATTTGTTTAAAGGATTTGCAATATATTTTCAGTTAGTTATAGCACTGATTAAAACACTTACCCATACTTTTAAATGTTAAACATGATTTTACAAAAAAAAAAAACAACCCACAAACAACCCTTTCAATTTAATTTCTGATATTTCATATTTCAACCATTTTCTGACAAGTTTTAATTACTTTTAGATCCTACCTGAGAGATTCTGCCATTCGCCTTAAGTCTTCATTTTGCTGCTTTAAACGTTCAAGTTTAGCAAGTATCTTGGATAATTCACGACTAGAGTGATCTGGGTGCTCACTGTCTCGTACCAGGTGTCCACCAATATAAAAGAGTAAAGTTCCCCAAGCAAAGAGGATGAGCATAATCCAACGCCAGGAACCAGTCCATGGCCGCATTTTCAGAAGTTCAATTCACTCCAGAACTGCTACTGCTCACAAAATAACAAACATTTTAAGTCCTTAGCCTGTACAAAAGTGCACAATTTCAGTTCCTCTGCTTCACCACATTGTACCGGAGAAAAGTTATTCTCACTCTTTATCTTACTCCAACTCCTTAGAGAAGATCCTTTTGGAGCTGTACATAGAAAGCATTAATATCACATCATTCTTCATTTATATTCTGTGAAAAGAATAAAAAAGATCTGAAATTATAATTCTGATATATAAAAATATATTGGATTGCAATTAAGCCAAATGTATTCTCATTAACATTGAGGAATGACGATAGACAATATTACTACATTCTATCAAGAAGAAAAAGAAAACAGCTTTTAACTTTCCACAAAAAATATGCTGAGTTCAAGAATGAACCATATAAAGAATATGCCATTAATTCTGAGTTTGAAATGGCCAGAAGAAATGCTACTTTTTATAAGAGAAATATTTACCAATTCATGTTTCATGTTACATATTAAAATAGTTCAAAAATCATTCCTTGGTAACCAATAATCTCCTTTACTATCAACAAAGAGCTTTTATTCAATTACAAATTCATCTTCATTTTTTTCACTTTTATGAACTCTCTTTGCCATTTTTATAATGGCTCCCACCCTGTTACAGAGAGTTATCTGCATTCTAACAATATATTCTACTATTTGCAAGTAGATTGGCCTGGAAGCAGCTGTAATACCAATTAAGCAACTTGCAAGCACTGCAAAGAGTGTAAGCAATAATTTCTAAACAAACAATCCACTGTATATCTTACTCTCAAACTTATAGTGGCCTCTGAAATGTCCATCTAAAATTAAACCCAAAATTTTACTTCTTGCTTAAAAGTGCAAGACAACACAACTTCTCTCTTTACCATTCCACTGTACTTGCTAAAACAGGTAAGAACACTGAACATTTAAGAGGTAGAAAGGAGGGGGATTTCAAGTAGACTTCTGTGGCACTGCTATACTCGCACATTTGTGAGTAAACCTAATTTTTAGAAATGTTTTTCTTCTGCTTTAAAACTATCAAACCCATTTTCACAAGTGTTATTACTAAACTATAAAAAAGCAAAAAAATGCTCCAAAGGTAATACCTTCTTTCATCTAAAAAGACTGCACCATTTAAAAAAAATGCAAAATCACCTCAACTCATTTTCTACTTGGCAAAACATCATTCAACGAGTGTAAGAATCTACTTATTCTATCTAGAACAGATTTTAAGATTTAACCAATCAGCATGTCCAAAATCTTCTTAAGTACTTCTCACCTCTTTTCCTTTCTCTGCAATGTAACATTTCTACTTCTTCTTTTGTAGAAGGCACATATATGCCATTTATACTCAATTTCCAAAATAACCTATATTTCCAACTCTCAAATCTGTAAATTTACCATATTTCCTCTGAGATGCTATCCACACCCACCTTCTCCCAACTTATGCTTCTCTGCTTAATCCTTCTTCCACCTTAACTTCTTTTTCATTTCATTTAGGTTTTTTTATTCTGTTCCAACTTATTTCAAGTTTAGGGAAAAGACTTCCCAATTCACAATAACTTCCAAACTCACCTAGGCATGGAGATATGCCTGGAGCATGCACTTCCAAATAAAAAATTCTAACATAGTATTATAAATGCTGAAAAATTTCTCTAGTTATCTTGCAGAAGAGTTTTTGTTTGTATATTTTTGAAAGAGGCAGAAAAATCCACTAACGAATTCCACTAGGAGCAAGCCATTTTCTACAGATCTCTAAGAAAGCTTTATAGAACTTCTGCTTTAGCTTGGCAAAAGCATGGGACTGCCTTCAGGAAGATAGTGGTTTCAACACTCTTTACAGATCACAGCACAAGTAAAAAGAACCCACATTATATGAAACAGAATAGGCCATGCCCAACCCACAGAGGATTGTTGCTATAAGCAAAGCAAGCCTAGTTACTTGCAGGAACGATTAAGATAAAACCCTGATGGACTGACGTTTTAGGTTTAAGTGGCAAAGTGTATTCTTGTATCTATACTACCGATCACCCAGAAAATGGCTGACTGTGGCTGCAACACACTAAGTGAAATCACAAAGTCTGCGAAGGCCGAAGAAAGAAAAAATAATATGAGACTTCATATATTCCTCTACTGATTGGGTAAACACATTATGCTGGGAATTGTGATGAGAATAAACAGATGCTACAGACATCATAAAATTACTGCTTAAGAGAAAAGGTACTATGAAAAACTCTTGACTTAATCATAAGCAGTTTGCAGAACTCGGATCAGAAAGTTTCTGCTGGAGGACCACTTTGTAACAGTCTGCATAATATACTCAGATACAATCTCCTTCTAGGAGCAACAAAGTAAAAAAAAAAAATCACTACAGCTGTGATTAATTTCAAGAAGAGGAACTATTTTAAAATAGAAGTGGACTCCGTGCCACCTGGAAAGATACCATGTCTTAATTAAAACAGCAGGTAAAGGTAAGTATTATAATTAGCAAAGAAAGTATCCTTTTGCAAAGGTACAAGCATGATCAAATGATTAAATAGGTAGGACTGTAAATTCTGGTGCATTAAAGACATAAAAATTAATACTAAACCTTTTATCCAAAGTAGATAGCTTACTATACACACCAAGATCAACAAATGATGAGAGTATCTAAGAGTTGTTTAGAGTACTTTGCAAGGAAAATATTGACTTTCTTTTTTTCAACCTGTTTTTCATAACACAGGAGCTTAAGTAGACTCACAAATCAGGTACCTTTATAAGAGGAAGTGTTGGTCTGTCTCAACAGTGTTAGTAGAACAGGCTATCAAACAAATCCACAAAATTAATATAACAAGTCGTCAGGAATAGATGGTATTCTTCCAACAGTTCTAAAGAAGTTAAAGAATGCAATAGTTTAATTATTAACAGTATTATGTAACCTCTCACTTATAATCACCTTGTAGCAAAGGAACGGAAAATGAAAACAGTGAACTGAATTCTTTGTATGGGCTACAGCAGGGTTCCCTGAAACTACAGGCCAGAAAAAAATTATATCCATGTCAGACAAACTGGCAGAAATAATAAGAAGATGAAATAGAACTGCAGACATAAGGATTAATCTAATCAAAGTAAAAAAAGTACTAACATGGCTTTTGGAAATTTAAATTGTGCCTCATAAATTTATTAAAGTTCTTTTGAAGATGTAAACAAACACTCAGGCAAGAGAGAACCAGTTCTAATTGTTACGCAGTTGATGTAGTCAACATGCATTTCTAAATGGCATTCAACAAGGTCCTCAAAAAGCTTCAAAGAAACTAAGGCGCATGGAAGAAGAAAGTTCATCATGTGAGTCACCACCCCATTAAAAGAGAAGAAACTTACAGCAAGACTAGGCAATCAGTTTAAGGGGAAAGAATGATCAGGGACCTCACTGGGACTCATGGTAGAGTTTATACAGTTTAATATATTCATAAATGATTTGGAAAACAAGGTGAAAAGTGAAGTGAGGTAACAAAGTCTGCACATATAGCACAAAAGCTGATAGCAATGAACTGAAGGACATCAAGACAATGTCTGATGAAGAAATAAAATGAAAGATGAAAAATCAGTTTATATCAGTGTGTAAAGTTGTGTATAGATGACCTTTGAATCATTATCCATCAGGAATGGACTTTAGCTGTGACAGGTAATTCTATGAAATGTCAGCTCAGCATTGGACAAAAAGCAACCAAATCCTCACAGGTTTTAAAAACAAACAAACAAATAAAACCAACCAACACAACAAAAAAAACCCACAAACATAAACACAAACCCAAGAATCCCAATAATAAACCCCAACAGAAATCATTACCATTATGTCATCGCATAAAAACACTGTGTTAGGGCTTTGATTACTTCATATCATTCTGATTGAACCAACTCAAAAAGATATGGTAGAAATAGAATTGACACAGAAAAGGGTTACGAAAATTAGCAGAGAGAGAGAGAATGGCCTTCAGTAACTATGAGTGGCTAAATGGATTAGTAGAAAGGACAACTCAGGAATTAATATGGCAAATCTATAAAAAACATTAATGGCATAAGAAAGTAAACAGGTTATAATTGTTGTTACTTCTAGTACAAGGGAATAACAAGTAAAACTTTCTGGTTTGAATAGATTCAAAACAAAAGAAGGTATTTCTCAAAATGTGCAATTCCAGTCTGAAACTCATTTTGTTCAAACACTGTAGGTGTTAAAAGGTTACATTTCAAAGGCCATTAGACCATTTCAAGGAAGATTAAAATTCATCAAAGGCTACCCACAAAGATACCACCCAATACTGTCAGAAACCCAAGTCCCATATTGTTGGAAACTAGAGAATATACCAGGGTAGTATCACCACAGTATCCTGGTTCTTGCAGTTATCCCTAGACATCCACTACAAGCCAGTCTTGGAGATACATCAGTCTAGATAAGCCTTTGATCTGATATGGTGTGAATACTTTTACATATTTAAAATGTTAAACAAACAATATTTCAAATGTTACTAAAGGTTTTGTGTTATCAAACACAAAAAGACCACATTTTAAAAGGACTAACTATCCTACATTTACTTCATAAAAACAAATTTTAGAACTCATTATTAATAAAAAAGTAACTGCTTGAGTGTTTGGTTTAAAAGGATAAATAGAAACGCGGACAGTAGAAATATCAGACAATCTTTCTGAGGATGAAAACAGAATGATAGCTTCGTGAAGTACTTGTCTGTGGTTCTAAGATAAGATTGGTCAAGTACTTCTGGCTCTCAAGAGCTCATAAAATTTGCAACTGTATACAGCGGGAAAATAACTAATACCATTTTTATTTACATCACTGTACATCTCAAGCAATTCATGGTGTACAGTAGTTATTCTGAAGTACATTGTTCTTGCAGCACCTTCACATTGCTTTTACGCAAGTGATTTTAAAGTACTGACACTTTAATAGTAAACTGGTTTTTACTTCCTGAAAATAAATAA